GAGAGAGCACACGAGCTGGGGGTGGTGGTGGGTGGGTGGGCAGAGGGAGAAGCAGATTCCCCACTGAGCAGGGAGCCTGACATGGGGCTGGATCCCGTGCCTCCAGGATCATGACCTGAGCTGAAGGCAGACACTTGACTGACTGAGCCACCCAGGCGCCCCCAAATAATGTATTTATCTCATAATTCATTATGGTCTGTCAAATTACAAGATAGTTTTGATCTAAGGACTACTGACAATTTAGTTTTACTAAAATCATTACACCAGATCACATCTTTAGTAGTGGCTTCTCGATGGGAACCAGTTTTTCAATGCCATCTTTGGGGGAAAACCAGAGTAGAAAACGTATCTATAAATAATAATTAATTGCTATAAATTACTTGGAAAGGGAAAAATGTCAAGTTGATAAAACAAATATTATTGACCCATGAGTTTACAGCTGTATACTAATTTAGTACCTGGCTTATTTCTTAAAGACCTGGCACATTTCTTGTTCTTTTCTCCTATTATATGTACATAGTGCTTCAATATCCAAGCAGAAAAGATGCATGTACTGTCTCAGTCTTTGCTATCTAATTAAAAACTTTTTATGCATAGCAATTTTACCACTTTGCATTATCACCAGAACTCATTTCTCATGGGAAAAAAATTAGCATCAGTTTAAAAGAATATTTCTTTAATCACCAGTTCTGATTGTCGGTAGTACCATTTTGTAGATAGTTTTTAGCTGACTAACAAATCTTTTATTTTATTGGCTGTCTCATTTTGTTCTCTTTCATATTTCACATTTATGGTCTATTCAGACATTCTCCTGTTTTGTTAAGTAGGAATCTGTGTGGTCTTTGATGTAAGACATAATTTATTTGACAAGGAAATAGGAGTCTGTGCCCTGAATCTACATTTAACTGATGGATTGAGAAATTTAAAAATTGCAACAAGATAGACTCTCCCCCAGATCGCCATACTACTAGCATTTTGCTAATCTATTTGGCAGTGAATTTACATAGCCTATATGTATGTCTATATATGAATATATAGAGATTCATAGGCATGCTACTGTACCCAAATGCTTTCATTAATAAAAAAAAAAAAAGGAGTCTCATTTTATTAGTCATTGATGATTCCTATGGAAAAATTTTAAAGAATTTCTGAAATTAGAATCAAGATATTTATTTTATTTTATCTTTCTATAGATAGTTATAGCTTTGGAAAGTGAGCCATAATGTCTTCAAATCTATGCTGCTCATTCCTCAGCCCAGTAAATGGAAGTTCTGTTAGCATTTCAAGATTTATACATTTCATACGTTCTCCCAAGTCTATGTCCCAGTTCTGGTAATTGGAAACTTACTTGCAGCTCATTCCCTCTGCTCAAACTGCTTGTCAATTAACCTTTGCAAAATGAAAGTTTCAAAAAATACGACTTTCGTATTTCAATCATGTTCATTTTCAGTCATCTCAAAATGTAGAAATTAAATAACACTCGGGGGTCTGCAATGCTTTTTACATATCATTTAAGGTTTGAAACCTCTCTTTGGTGTTCAAATACGACTACTATTTATATGCAATGGATGAGATTAAGTGGTTAAAATTACTTCTGCTGGGTATCTCCCTACTTTGTTTGTAGGTATGAACAAAATACAAAGTATGCCAAAAGCATTTTTCATAAACATGCACCATT